AAAAAGGGGCAAAATTTATGAGATACAAGACAAAAGAAAAGGAATTACCGGTCCAGAAACTGGCTTCAGCCTTCTTGTACATCTACCAAAGGGGCTGATACTTATTGGGAAACATGCAAAACCTCTGGTTTTGCTGCTTCCATATTGGCTCTTCCTCCACCTCTTCTCCCTCGTCTTTTCCTTTATTTCCTTTCCTTGGCACATCTTACAGAGAACCCATCTCCTTCTTTCAGTCCCTCAGTCTATGCTTGCTATCTTTCTTTTGTAAAGAAATCGGATAGTCAAATGAAATGAGTAGGGGAAAACCTCTACAAAACCCCCCAAGAAGTAGCGAACTGGGGAATGAGGATTGTGGGTAGTGAAGAGAGAGAAAGGGAGGTTTTTGCGGCAAATGGAGAAGATGAAAAGAGTGGACCCATCGGCAGAGAGAGACGCGAAAATGAGGTTTAACTGTGTTTATATCGTGGTTTAACCGTAAATTTGGTAAAATATGAGGGTAAAATAGGTATAATGGGTAAATTTCATTAAAGTGAAGCGAGAAGCACGCGCAAAAGCTTCAATTTCGTGCTTCCTCATTTTCAAAAGGTGGAAGCTCGTATCAGCTTCCCAGCAACATAAGTAAATTCCCAAAGTTTGATGTTTGGTGCAGTTGGACCTTTTAAGCTTCAAAAGCATTTTTCACCAGCTGCACCAAACACATATTTATAATAGATTCTTTTAAAAAAGACTTTCATCAAAAGTTCTAATTACACCGAACAGATCCTTATTTTGATTAATAACCTGTTTGGTATGATAATTTAAGAGTAGTGATTAGGTTTTTTAAAAATTAATATAAGGTAGACATTGATAAATTTATTTATTTTTAAATTAAGATGAATTAATGTTTGGTATTTATTTTATTTATTTTTAATAGTTTTAATTTTTATATAAATTTTAAATAAATATTTAACAATTTATATGAATAATAATTAAATTTTTTTAATTTTTTTATTATCCTAAAAAAATATATAAAATATTAATTAAAATAAATATTAAATATATTAAATATATTTTCTATACTTTTGTAATATTTAAAAATTAAAAAATCTACTACTACAACGACAGTCCAACACTCCGTGACAAAGCTTAAAGAAAATAATACGAAATTGAATATAGTTAGATTTATTCCTTTTAAAGTGCTAAGTTGTAATTATAGTTGTAGATTTTTTTTTTTTTTCTGAGCAAAGTGATAGGATTCAAATTTCAAATTTATAGGGGGAAGAAGAGTGCACCTTCAAGGTGGACTGAAGGCCACTTAGCCCAAAGCGCAGGTGCATAGTTGTAGATTTTTTTACAGGTTTATAAAGGCAAAAAAATAGGAAATCCCAGAAGAAAAATGACCCCATTAATGAAAACAAAACATTTCATATGCCTTCTAAACTTTATAGTGGCTCCCACGTACTCCCACGCACCTGAAAAATTATCAAGCTAATTCTTCAATTCGGACAAACTTAAAAAGGAACAAATTAAAGAAACCATGAGGAAATTCAATGGAAAAAATAAAAGAAAGATGAAGAAATCTAACATGTAAAACTAGGTTATGAAGATTATTACTAAAGGAAGAGCACCTCAAAAATCACCAAGATTGCCGGAGCTGGGCTGAAGTCGGCGGAGAGTGACAGCTGCTGGCGACCAGATCTGGAGCGAGGTCGGAGACAATGAATCGCCAGAAATCAAGTGGACCTCCATAGCCATTAGACTCGGAGATCGGAATCAAAGATGCTAGTCACCGGTGGACGATTTGAAGCATCGGAAGCCGAGTACTGAAATGCCACCGGAGCTCAATTCTAGTTGAATCGGAGATTGAAGTGATAATGGCCAAGATTTTAAGTGAATCGGAGGAGGTGGAGATGGATTCCAAGTGGTTACCACGGTGCATTCAAACCGTGTAGGAGATCATCACGGAGAAAATCAAGCTTGTTGGCATCACGGAGAAAATCAAGCTTGTTGACAGAGAAGCAATCAATCATTATGACAGATTTATTTCTTTGCTTTCTTGATTTGTATTTCGTTCTATGTAAGAATAGTTTTAGGCTAAACTTCTGTCATTAACCTCATATAAGTAATGTACTCTGTACAGAGAAATATATAGCTTTTCATCCAATTATGTTCTTCTAATTCTCTAGATTTTTCAAACCGAAAGTCAAAGAGATTTTGAAGAGAAAGTAGAAATGGAGAGGAGGAGACTTTGACTGGACCAACTCATTTTCTTTTGACGTGGGCTGATCAGCTACCCAGTTCGGTCTAGCCCATATATAACAGCGGCAAAATTTCCGGCTGGCGGTCCTGTTTCTCCTTCGGTTCTGTTTTCGCTTTCTGGAGCTGTCAACTAACTCCAGAAAATTACGGCGTGGAATTTCCAAATTCCAATTCCCCATTCTTTCCTTTCTTTCATTTTCCCTCAATCCAAACAGCACTTACCATTCAATATATTTTTACGCTCATAATTTTTGTTAGAAACTTGTTAAGTTCAATGGCATATGAGATTTTGAGTTCATTCTCGGAATCAAGTTAATACAATCTCTTATTGCAGGTGAGATGGGAAGAATCAAGCATGATAGAAGCAGATAGGTTGTTGCTTGCAGGTGCTCTAGAAGACCCGGTGAATCAAAGATTTTTCCTGCTTTTTGACAGGTTTGTAAAGCTTGGACAAGTTTGTTGCTTGGACCACGAACATTTTCGTTGAGTTCATGTTAATCCAGGTTTTTCTTGCTTTTGTATTGCAGTTGTCTTCCCCTTTACAGTTTTAGCTATATATACAAGTATCTGATGGCTTCTCCACGGAGTTACGTGGACAGGTAGATGGCAGCCTTCTTGATTCTTGAAGTGCCTAGAATTGATTCTTTACAGATGGTTCCATGATAAATGAAATGATAGTGTTCTATCTGTTTTAAGCCTTTTCTGGTTCCTACTTAAGAAATCACCTCATTTTGTATCTTTCTTGATGTAATGGATGGTAGATACAGCTTAAAGATGTTACTTACCATCCCGAAAGACAAGTGGCGAAAAGAATCTCAGGTTATCTATTTTCTATTTTAGTTAACATTAAATTAATATAGAGATAGTTGAGTGTTGGGGGAACTCGATTTTTTAATGAACTGCTTTAGATCCTTCAACTGGATTTAATAAGTAATGGGAATTGATTATTTTCATCTTTGCCTCTCTTTCCTTCTAAAAATAGTTGAAGACAGAGATGTACCCTTGTCTATTTCTCATGAGTTTTATATGTCTTTTTTACTACTATATAAGAAATTAAGCTTTGATTTCAACTTATTTACATTTGTAATGGATCTCCTTGGTAAGAAGCCATGCTGAAGTTGTTATAAATGCTGAGATCAATTTTCCAGTTCTTAAGAAATTATGCAAGGCACACAATTAACCATACGTCCTTTCTTTGGTTCCACTAAATGTTAGACGCTAATATCTACCAATTTTCATTTCTGAAGGAAAGATTATTGAACGGGCCGCTGTTCCTATTGACCATATCTCATTAATGCTATTGTAGTGAAATTAAACTAATCCAGATTGTAGTGCTTTGTGAACAATTATCAAACAAATAACAGTCAAACTAAACATATAAAAGTTGTGCCAACATTATCAAATGGTGCCCCCACATTAATTTCCTTAAAAAGGGGCCCCTTATCAAATTTTGAAAGTGTTCCTGTCATATATGTTGAGCTAGCCCTCCCAAGTTGGGTGGCTCAACAATGTAGGTGCACCATGAGTGCATGGCGCATGGCAGAAACTTGGAAGGTTTGGTTTTGAAGATGAACAGTTTTTCGACACGGACTTTTTCTCATTGTTGAAGAAATGGGAAAAGCAAAGTGGACTCCTCCAACTTTGGATATGCTGACATGT